TTGTCAGCTATAAAAGCTCTTTCTCCCTCTCTTCATTGATGGTGCACAGTACCCCATGCAAACCGCTGGAGCCTTCGCTGGCAAAATCAAACACATTCATGTCCTCACCAAACAAATCACACGGCCAAAAAGTACACCGAAAAACTCGCCGAAATTTTAACCACTCGCCGGGAAACTCATCGAGTTCATCCATGTTCATCACGTACATACTCATTATTTCCAGAAACACTCACCAAATTCATCAACCTTCATCACGTTTCCAGATTTCCCCAAGAACCTTCATCCGTTCATCAATATTTTTCCAGATTTTCTCTAAATCTTCATCGTGTTCATCATTTTCGTTCTTGATTTTTCTAGCAACATTTCCCATAACTCATCCAAGCTTATGTGACCTTCATCATGACCTCATCCATGTTCAAACTTTTCCAGAAATTCTCTGAACTTCATACAAACGTCACCAATGTTCTTCATATCTTCATCAGTCTCTAAACATCTTTCCAAATCCAAATAACAAATCACCAGATCTAAACGAATCAGTTCCAGATCTACTTCCAAAATTCAAACACGTTTTCCAGATTTGAACCACAAAGAACTCAGATCAATATCCAAACAAACTTCATCTAAACATCATCTCCAGATTTTCGTCACCGATTCAAACATTCATACGAACGCTCAACTTTTCAATTCTCCAGATTCAACCGTCTCTTCATCTCAATTCGTGGTTCACCGTAACCACATCTCAGATCTTCAGATCTGGGTTCAAACCACCATGCACAAACAGCTTTCGTTCTTCATAGATCTTCAACAATGTTCATCAACAAATTTCCGGATCTTCAACATGCAAACTTTCCATTGACTCATAAACCTCTTCATCTCACAGGATTCAGCTTCGCAAATCTTCATAGATCTTCCTCGCAAGCTTCAAACACCCAACCGCAACAATGATCGACATAGATCTTTGAATATAGTGACTTATTTGTCGAGTTTTTGTTTGTTTGATCTCAGTTTTGAAGTTTTGTTTCGTTTAGTGGGATAGATGAAGACAAGCAAAACGTGGAATGGAGAAAAGTTGGGACGGAGGTAGGTAGGGGATGATGGTGTTTGGTGGCTAGCGGCGGCGGAAAGTTAGAGAGAAAGGACTAGGGTTTCATTTTTCCAAAGGGAAGAAGATGAAAGGGTAGCTGACTCCTTCTGGTCTGGTTAGTGGGCTTTCCGACCCAACCATATTTTTGCGGAATCATATCCCCGTTTCCACTTACGCACCCCCCTGTCTGTTTGTGTCTGTTTGTTTTTTTTTTTACTTGGGCTTTCAACCTTAAGCCCACCGTGTGGACTCTCTCATACACCCTCCATATTTTGATGCACCCCTCTCTGTTGACTGTTTTTGTTTTGCTGTGGGCCAAGCCCAATTGCATTTTTTTCTGGATGGACCCCTATTGTTACTGTTGTACCCCCTGTTCATTTTCTTTTTGTAAAGACATTTTCCAATATGTATTCTTATTTTCATTTGAATATTACTTTTACTATTTTTCTTTATAAAAATTCATAGTATTTTATTTTGTTCATTTAGAATATTATTGTATATATTAAATATAGTTTTATATTCTATTTTCTATATTTAGTTTTTATATTCTATTTTCTTTTCATTTTATTTTAATATTTTCTTTTAGAATTTATTTTTATATTAGAGTTTCATTTCATTTTGAGAAGTTGAATTATTATTTCCATTTGTTATTGTTTTTTTCTCACCATGTTCATTCTGTAGGTCGATGACGAGACTTCCGTAAACCATTATAAATCAACTTGTTGATGGATGATGTAGGATCTGAGACTGCTTTTTCTCTCCTCATCTTTTCTTCTTCTTCTGATTTTATTTTGCTTTTCTGCTATGTTGTACGTGTGACATGATTCAATTGGAGAATGATTCTCAATATCATTTCTCTATCTTGTCTTTGACACGAATATTAATACGCTACTGTAGCGGTAAAAATCGTGAGTGTAAGTTATTGACTAACTTAACTCAAAGAAAACAAGAGTCGCCACCGCACTTTTATTTTATCCAAATAAAGGAAAGGAAAAAGAGCGAACAAAACCAAAGAGTTCTAAAATAAGAACACGAGACAGAGATCGGGGTAAGGGGGTTGGTTACGCAATGGGAAGGTGTTAGCACCCAAAACGTCTATAGTACTCTATAGGAGCCCTTTGAAATATTTACGCTTTTTGGTTTGAAAATGGTTTGTTTGAAAAGAGATTGGGGAGATGAGAAGAGAATTATTTTTTATATTTTTGTGTTTGGAGAGACTTATCGTCTCATGCCTACGTACCCATAAAGTGCAATATGGAATCAAAACCCCGTAGTTCGTGGTACAAATGACAAAAATTTGTTGGTTTTGATTGATTTTAGATGTTCAGACAAGTCGTCATTTCAAGGAGAAAACTGCGACTATCCACCCACGAGTATTAAGACAACATTTGCGTCACATAAAGATAGAGGATTTGCTTGGATTATCAACAAGACTATCACTCAACATCAACGTGGAAAATGTCAAGGTCTTAATAATATGGGGAATAGGAGATTTACATCTCAACTATAGAAATGAATCATGTCTAAACTTTATGAAAAGTTTTAAAGTGAAAAAGTGCATAAAGGCACAAAAAGAGTTGATGAGTTTTTGTATTTTTTATGTCTTTTGAAATTGGTCAAAGCATGATTAACATTGATTGACTTTTATTAAGAAAAACAAAGTTTAAAAATCACTTGACGAAAGTCAAGGTTTTATTGCGAAAGCGGTTTTGAAGTTTGAAACCAAGAAGGTTTTGAAAAAGGGAGAAAGTTTTGAAAATTTAAGAAGGGGAGGAGATGAAGTGACTATCCTAAAAAAACAAAATAAGAGCTAGAGATAAGAAAGATCTAACCGACTTGTAGCACACTCCAAAGCAAGCAAAAAGAATTCCATCCGATTTAAAGTACAAGCCAGTGATCGAGCCAAATAAAGGCTAAGATTCAAAATTCTCCAAGCATAGGGAAGAAAGTCCTAATCCTAAGTCCAAAATGTCCATGAAGTCCAAGGTCTAAGAATGGTCCAAGAGTATAACCACAAAATTAATAGCACCAAATTTTTTAGATGTTTTATCCTTTATTAGTGTTTTGAACAAAGTATGGTCCAAGTGGACAAAAGAAAAAATGACATAAACATAAACAAAGATATGGTATGGAATGATAAAATGGAAGCATAAAAGTAAAAAAATAAGGAGTAAGAAGAGAATATAAACAAAATTAAACAAGGATATTGTTAGTGAATTAGTGGTTAGTGGTTAGAACATATGATCAATGATGATTAATTCTTGCACTTAGACCAAGATTAATGAAAATTCATTAGAGGATTGATAGAATCAAAGCCTCCTAACAATGATTTTCATAGGTATTGGAGTTAAGACAAGCAACTAAACATACTTGGACTTTTAAACGTAAGTTTGAGCCACGAATGATCATTTTCCGATTAAGGGACAATTTAGCGCTATGTTAAGCAATCGTAATCGGGTTTATGTAGAAACCACGACTATCTGAGGCCGGTCAATAAAATGTTAGTGTTAATACATGTTAGAGAAGTGATATGTAAATCACTCTCCTAAAACATGCCACACAAAAAGAAAAGAGGTAATGATCTCATCATAATCAAGATTTTTAATTAATTAATCAAAGGTAATCTATCACTATTCCAAAGTAAGGAGAATTATCTCAATGATTATTCGTCCATAGATTTGAAATAATGAAGATTAAACAACCTTGATAATCAACAATCTATGATCCATAGATTTCATCGATCAAAAATAAAAAATAAAAAAAAAGAAAGAAAATAAGAATGACAAGAAATCACAATTTGAATCTTAAATCGATTAAATTATCATCAATATCAATCACCTCTCTTGGTGGATAAAAATCAACACCCAAAGTCCATTGATATTGATGAAATCTTATCAAAATTCAAGATCCAAAACCACCAACAATTAATCAAAATATTTTCAAATAATCTTTTAATGCCTTTTTTTTTTCAAGAATATTATTATTAGTTTATAAAAAATAAACTAATAACAATATAAAAAAAGAAAAGATAAGAAAAAGAATAAATAAATGAAAAAACAATTTAAAAGGAGAAAGAGAACAGAAACTTCATCTTCTCCTTTCTTCTTCACGGTAACTTCTTCGCACCATTTTTTTTTCGAGCTCAAAGCTTGCTTAGATCAAAGCGACGGGATGCGAAAATCACACCGAACAGATCGAAATCAAAAGTTCTTCACAACAGTACCAACAGTTTAAAGAATCACAACAAAAGATAACGGATCGAAAATGACGGTGAAGCTCAATCTACCTTCAAACTCAGGTAAGAAATCAATCCAAACTTCTTCTTGCTTCTCTTCTTCTTCTGAACGAATCTCTGGTTGAATTGATCTGTGTTTGAGGTTGATTTGAAGTTAATTTGGTGGAATGAAAGTATGAGAAGAGAATGAACGAAGGTTTTTCTGGTAGTGAGGAATTTGATGAAGAAAATCAGCAGAGGTTTTTTGGCTTGAAAAGCTTGAAAAATAGAGTGAGGGATGAATTCTATTTATAGATGAGAATGGATGAAAAATGATTTGCCGTTGTGAGATTTTTTTCTGCGTTTTGAAGTAGGTGTGTTGTGCGTGATATTTTTTTTTTTGCTGGTATTTTACATGTCGTTTTGCAATTTTTCTCTTTGTAGCTCATTTAAGTGACATGGATAGCTTGTGGGGTCAGTTACATGGCTGAGATTATATTCACATGGCTTGCAATATGGCTTGGATAAGTGATGAATTGTTTTCTCAGCTCAACCTCAATTTCGAGCCGTTTTCGCTCTGCTTCATAGTACGTGACGTGGATTGGCTTTCATGGCTCACTTTCGGCTTGCACGGCTTAGTCTACGTGATGTTCTGTTTCCTCAGCTCAACCTTGACAGAAATAGAATCTGGAGATGCACGCTCTACACTAGAACTTCTGTAAATCCCATTTCAGCATGTTGCAACTTATTATATTCAACTGGCAAAGCTACATTTTGTTCCTGTTTCAAGCAAGAACCATTAGGTTGGACCTGATGTATGAAGCCCTTTCCGAGGGCTGGTTTCTCATGTGACAAACTTGTCACATTATTGCTTAGATGATTTACGAAGCTAACATTGCCAAGCTTTTCGTCAGGATTTGCATGTAGAGCAGCATGAGTTTTGTTTGTTAAACTGTTGCTTCCACCTAAGCCACGGGAAGCAATAACTGCACTGTGTGATGAATGGTTATTAGATAACTCGCATTGTATTTTCGAACCACAAACAGGCCCTGAATTCCCTCGGGCTCTTGTTGTCTGGGAAGGCACATGAGCTCCTATGGAGTTTTTTTGTTCAACCTGCGTCAAAACTTTACCTCTTCTGTTAGCTCTAAATCCACAATCATTAACAGATGATGGAACTGGTTTATTGGATTTTGTAACAGCTGGTTCAGATGAAAACATTGTTGGGGGATGCTCATTAGAGGGTAGAAAAACATCTTCATTGGATGGAACTACTGGGTCCTCGGTATTTAGACTACAGAAAATAACTCCATTAACTAGTTCAGGAAATTGAGGGTATTTAGCTGAGGCAGAAGTTGGCATTTCGAACGCTGATTTGTGAACTACTTGCACACCATTAGGTTTTGACACTATATTGTCATCTACTTCTGCACGAGCACGACATGAAGCTGAGAGATCATTAACATGTGCATCAAATGCAGCTAACAAATCTGTTTCGCCCGTTCCTGCATTGTCATCTACTTTTGTGTGACGTGAAACACACGGATTTTTGACTTCTTCAGGTTCTTTTGTTTGCAAAAAAGTTTGAAAATTAGAAGTGTTAAAATCCTCTTTTCTTTCTTCTTCACGACGTCGCTCAAGACCTCTTTCGTACCGTTGAATGAACTCTGGGAGAGGTGTTTGACCATTTAAAAGTGCACCAAAGAATGATTCCATGCTTTCTTTCAAAGGAATTCCAGCAGAAAATGTGCTCTTTATATAGAACGGAACCCAGGATGCACGTTTCTCGTACATTTCTTTTAGCCAAGAATTGTCCTTCAATCCATATTTTACGAGTAGAGCATTCCACGCGGTGTCAAATTCATCAACTGTCTGGCTCTGGTAAACACACTTTTCATAATCTTTTGTGAATCCATGACCCATCAGACCTGCAAGCTCTTGTTCCTTTGCATTAATTTGCCACAATGAAAAGCGGTGATGGGTTACTGGAAATACTTTTGCTACTGCTCTCTGGATTGAAACGTCTTGATCAGCTATTACTGACAGAGGCTGCCGACCACACATTGCTCTTAGCCATGTCTGTAACAGCCAAGTGAACGACTCCTCAGATTCATCAGCAATTAGAGCACATCCAAGAAGGACAGGTTGTTTGTGGTGATTAACCCCCACAAAAGTAGCAAATGGTACCATAGAGAGGCTCTTTCTATACGACGTGTCTACAACGAGGACATCGCCAAATTGACTACATGAATATCTAGATCTGCCATCAGCCCAGAATATGCTCATGCAATTACCATTATCAACTTCCATGGCATAAAAGAAACCTGTATCTTCAGCTTGTCTTGACTGAAAATACTCTAAAAGCATGTTATACCAATCACTTCTGATGTGGTTTTGTCTACCTCCTCTCAGGACAGGGTAGTTATCTATCCTAAACATGTCGCTGTTCACCATTTCAGTGTTTACCACCTCAGTTAAAATATTAGAAGCAGGAAGACTTGTTGTCCTAGTTTCCTTTTCAGGGACCAGGTCATGATTATGATCTTTTTCAAGACGGTCGACTACCCACTTTCCTGATGGCTGTCTCTTAATCCTTAAATAGGCCTTACAACCAACTCTTGAAGGGTGCTGGAACCCTTCTTTTGAACACACAAAGCGTCGTGATGTAATACCCCCGTCATTTTTAGAACGAAACAATTGACCATTTCGAATTCTAAAACCCTTATATGCTGCATGGGTGTGATAAAATTGGTAGGCTTCAACAGGGCTACTGAACTCTTGACCAACATGTGGTTCGATCCTGGCCTGTCCTTCAAGTTCTTCTTTTCTCAGACGCTTGAAATTAATAACACCAAAAGGAGAAATAGGTTCACCATTGCCTACTTCAAGCAATTTCTTCCTTGGCCTGCGAGTGATTCCGGTTGAAGAATCAACCGTGGCAGAAGCTATCGGCTGCAACGTTGGAGCGAAATTTTCACTTTCATTTTCAAGATTATGGTTATGCTCCTTGTGAAAATGGTCAACAACCCACTTCCCAGAATCATTTAACTGCACCCTTATGAATGCTGGACAGCCAGTTCTTGAGCTGAGCTGATGTCCCTCCTTCGAACACACAAATCTTCGAGAAGAAACCGATCCATTAGTCCTGGACCGATAAAGCTGACCAATACGAACTTTAAATCCCATTCGAGTAGCATATGATATATAATACCTAAGTGCATCATCCGCATTGAAAAACTCCAACCCTACGTATGGATCACAAGAAAAATCAATTTCCTCCTCCCCAATGACATTACTCATCACCAGTTCAGTACCAACAGCATGCTCCTTTACAATCATGATCCCAAATTCTACTACCCAACCGTTTTCAAAGCAAACAAAAGCACATTCCACACGCTAAGAAGATTACACTTATTTCTTCAACATCTGGAATTGGAACATTGATGAATTGGATTGAAAATGGAATTGAGAGAGAGTTGAATTGGGGATTTATCTCAAGTAAAAGGGCTGTAAAGAAATGGTTTCTTCAGATTGAGTTTTGGTGCTCTGAATTTGGAGATGATATGTTTGTTGTTGGAAAATGGGAGCAGAAAGAGATCACAATTCGTGATGGTCACATGAAGCTTGAGACACAAGTCTTCTTTGCCTCAATCGACCAACGCAATGAACGTGCGGCAGGCGAGGGTGCATGCACGGTTCTTGTTGCAGTAATTGCTGATTGGTTCCAGAACTGTCACGATCACATGCCTCTAAAGTCCCATTCCGACACTCTAATTCGAGATGGCTCCTTAGAATGGAGGAACCTATGCGAAAACGAAACGTATAGAAACAGGTTCCCTGACGGGCATTTTGATCTTGAAACAGTCGTTGAAGCAAAAATACGCCCGCTTTCTGTTGTTCCTGGCAAGTCCTTCATTGGTTTCTTCCATCCAGAAGGAATGGACGAGGAGAGATTCGAGTTTCTTCACGGCTCAATGTCTTTCGACAACATTTGGGACGAGATCAGCGGTTCAGAACACGAGTGGCTTAGCAATGGCGAACCTCACCTCTTTATTGTGAGTTGGAATGACCATTTTTTCATCCTCAAAGTCGAATCCGACTGTTACCTCATCATCGACACATTGGGAGAGAGGCTTTACGAAGGATGCAATCAAGCATATATCCTTAAATTCGACAGCAACACAGTAACACACAAGACACAAAATGTTGCTCAATCATCATCAGACAATAAAACCACCGGTGGTGATCGACAAACTGTTGCGCAAGTATTTGAGCGCAATAACAAGTCTGAACAACAAGTTAATAACGGTAACGAGGTTGATTCTATTGCAGAGCAAGAAGACAACGAGGTTGTGTGCCGAGGCAAGGAAGCATGCAAAGAGTACATCAAGAGCTTCCTGGCTGCAATTCCTATCAGAGAATTGCAAGAAAGTTGAATGAGAAGGGGCGTCTCTCAATGCCATCTGAGTAATATTTTGACATCTTTAGGACCTGAGTGAATCCGTCATCATCCAAATCAGTTGAAAAGTTTTGGCCTTCAAGTGATATGTCATAGAGTCTAGCATCCAGCAAAAGTTGTCTAAGAAAACCTTCGGGGCTACAATCTGGATTGATCTTCTTCATAACTATATCTTGCATTTTAAAACAAGAGCAGCACATCGAGAATCCATATTTACTAAACATGCGTAAAATTGGTAAGTATCCATTCCTGTTAAAAGTATTATAATAGCCTGCTGTTACCTCCGATGGATGGGATTGTGTGACATAGTGCCAGTGAATGGCAGCCAATTTTGCTGATATATGGACTTCTGTACCCCTAAATATAGTTTCATCTTCCCTACAAATTCTCTCTCCATGCAGTAGCAGCATATCCGAGTACCATTCAAGAAAAAAAATTACCATATGGCATGTTCCAAGAGCCACCCTCGTTTCTAAAGAATTCAGTACGCTCAGGATTTTGGATCAAACTTCCAGCACCAGATGGACCACCATTTCCCCATTCACGCTTTCCAATATTTCGGGCGGAGGCGTTTAGCTGGATAACTAGCATCGATCGGGATTTCCAATACAGAGTTACTACTCGATGTTTGTCTTAAAATACCAGGAAAATTAGCATGCTATCTTCTTTGTATTTATCTGAGAATATTGTAAGCAACAATTCGAGATTCTGTCGGTGAGAACATAAATTGCTCCAGACTTCATTATAGCAGCTTTTTTTTGTTTCATCATGACAAGCAACACCATATGCAGTGGAAGTTCTAGTGTTGGATTCACGGCCGTTGGCCTCTTTTGTGTAGACTCTAAAGAAATGGATGCTGGTTCCAGTGTCCTTAGTGAGTCTGTCAACAACTGTGAATTTCTCTGAATCATCAAAAAGTCTAACATTATATGTACCAGCACAACATCAGTTTTGATTGACATTTGAAAATTGGATTTTGAATTGTGGCAATCATCTTGTCTTGTTAAACTCTTGACAACCTTCAATCATCCTTTAAAATCACTTGGAAATGGCACACTTGAATGAGCACTTTGGACTTGTATCCTAAAACAAACATCTTGTTTGAACATCCACCAAACCTGACTTGTACAGACAAAATTCTGAATCTTTGATTAAAACTGGGCCAAACTTCTCATAGAACACTGCTTGAAAGCTTGATGAATTGTGATACAGGACAACTTGACCTTGAACAAACACATTGCCTGAGAAAATAGCCCACTGCCACAACCAATTTACACTGAAAGAAATCTCTTGATAGTTTGACCAAGATGAGGTCAAACGTCCATCTGATTTAAACTTGAATGAATGTCTTTGCCATCAATCTCCTTGCAAAACCCTAAACACACAAAGAAGAAGAAGAAACAAAAAAAAATTGAAAAATATTTTTGGTATTTTAGTTAGATGTTAGTAAACAGAAACAAACATAAAGTAAATAAGAAACACAAGGGTGAAAGAACCAAAAAGTATGATCTTGTTTGTGTATGCAAAAATGAAAATGCAATGTGGGATCTTAGGGGTAAAAATTTGGGTATTACAGCTGCCCCTATTTAAGATTCTTCTATAGGGAGATATGAAGATTGACATCTTTGTCTCGACCAGATAGAAGAGACTTAAATATACCAATAAACCCAATTTTTGGCCCTAAGAGACCACAAAATGATATGGTTATGCTAATGGTATGCAAACACAAGACCTCTGCGGGGAGAAAATACCACAGGAGACAGACAAAAAAACTCGGGAGAAAAAGAAGAAAAGAGATTCCACAGGGGAAAACAAAAAAAAAAGCAAGACCCTATTTCGATAAAAGAAAGGAAACGACTCATCGGGGAAAGAGATACCAACTGCCAGTTACTGGGCGAAGATATTCGAACCGAAGAGAATAGGTAAAATACTTTCTACTGGTTACTGAGTAGAAAATAAGTGCAAAAAACACAAGAGAATTGTTATCTACCAGTTACTGGGTAGAAAACAAAGAAATGTATTACTTATTACCAGTTACTGGGTAAAAAGTAATCCACTCATTAAGATATAATCAACTACCTGTTACTGGGTAGGAAAAGAAGCAACGCTAAGTACTGGTTACTGAGTAGTTTAGCGGGAATAATAAACTTGAATGAAAGGGGTTACCAACTATCGGTTACTGGATAGGGTAAACAACATGTCAACTACCTGGTACTGGGTAGGACGGACTCGACTACCTGTTACTGGGTAGGAGAAAAAGATAAAAGGTCAACTACCTGACACTGGGTAGGACAAACATACTCGACTACCTGTCACTGGGTAGGAGAAAGAGATATATCATCAGCTACTTGTTACTGAGCAGCTCCAAACACACAACAAACTTCTCAAATAAAGAGACAACCATTTGTTGGAAAAAGATATTAACAACTCTGGCGAGGATCTTTAAAAGAGATACAAGCAGGTTGAACCATGCAATAGAATTCTTATCGGGAGTTATTCCACAGAAATTCCAATTGACAGAAAAGCTGATCAGATAAGGATCCATCACTTCACAATAAACTTCTCTGTTGAGGATGAGCCAGAGAAATGTTATTTATTGCGAAGGTAAATTTCTGGAGATTACACAAGCTGCTTAAATAAAGAGGCTTCCACATGAAGTTGCATAATTAATTACCAAGAGAGTGTTATCAAAACACTACTGGGGAAATCAAATCTTCATCTTCTGATGGGGATCAATAATAGATTCTGCCGAGGAAAATAAATCCTCAAAAATACCTTCTCGTCATCCCGGTTCCACAGCCCAGGGAAAACTAAAGTAACTGCTGCAAGAGACCAAAGTTCAATCCAGGAACAAACTGGAAAGAAACGGTCAAACAAGACTCGACCCAATGAGGAAATAACTCAACTGGGGAACAATTCCATCCAAATAAAAAACTGGGGAGGAAAGCTAAACAAAGCATCTTCCACGAGGCATAAACCCAGTGGGGAATTAAAAATGATAGGTATTTTCTGCTTAGAGGTCGACACTCTAATGAAGAGAGGACACACGCATTCTGCGAGATAACAACATCGGGAAAAGGGAAATACCAACAAAAAATGCAGGATGCACAATGCAACCAAGACATGCTATGCTCAACCAAAATGAATGCACATGTAATGAGTATGAATATGCTGATAAATCAGACAAAAAGGGCAAACAGAGGGTGAACAAGACACCACAACACCACTGAAATATTCGGCTAATCTCTGCGAGTTAGAGATATCATTGGAGATCGTGCTGGGGATCAGCAATAGAAAATCTGCAAGAGATACACAAGAGCCATCAAAGGAAAATAAATCCTACTACAAGGCTTAAATCTCGCTGAATAAATGGAGATATTTCTTGGGGAAAAGACCCCAAAGATCAATCTTCAACCATTAATAATTCAACAATATGAACTCCGCTTTGAGAAAAAAAACTGTTGGAGAAAAACATAGCAACACAAATCTTCCAACCCTGCCAGGGGAATAAGAAGTTACCATCATAGCAAAAAGTCAAACTGTGGGGGATTTTAAATCAACACCCAATCACAAGGTGAGTGACAACCCGACAGGTGACTGCTATGTCAACACTTCTCAACATTGTTCTCTACTTGGGGAATAATCCAAAGCAAATGTGCATAACCTCCGCTAGGAATCATCAAAGACAAATCTCTGCCTGGGCAAAAACATCAAGGAGAAGTGGTCTTCAAATTTCTCAACTGCCCAATCATAATCTGGTTAAATGAATAAAACATATCCATCATTTGAATCAAGACTTTGCTGTGGAAAACCGTTCAACACTCGTCTGGTTTATCCAAAGAAACAAAACTCTGCTAAGGGAATATCAGCAAACTCTACT